CAACCAGTGGACACAAAACTCTGGGGAGGGAGGGCATGTATGGGAGGAGGGGCAATGGTAAGATATGTACACAGATGATAATTTAATAAAAAATAAAGTAGGGCATCATAAAAATAATAAATATGCCTTAAATTTTCATTCTAACTTAAAACATAAATGTGCATTAATTTCCCAATGTTATATGAGACCAAATCTTTTTCTTTGACTATGGTCCACTGATTATACTGATGTGTCACCTTTTCTTCACAAACTATATATAAATATAATGTAGCATATCAAATCTCAAGTTTCAGTTTCAGTTTAAGACAGTAAAATAACTTAATGGAACTAGCAAAGAAATTTTTCTGCAAAAGCTTTCACAATAAACACACCCATGCTTAATTTGATATTGTAAACTACTTAGCATTGTTCTTTGAAAACTTTCAGTTTAATTTTCTTTTTCTTTTTTAAAAATATATTTTATTGATTTATTATTATTTTTTAATATATTTTATTGATTTTTTTTGCCCCCCTCCCTCCCCCCCATACATACCCTCCCTCCCCAGAGTTTTATGTCCATTGGTTGTACTTATATGCATATACACAAGTCCTTCGGTTGATCTATTATCTCCCCCAGATCCTCCCCACTGTAATTTGGCAGTCTGCCTGTTGCTTTACTGTCTCTATATCTGTCTCTTTCAGCTTCCATTCTTTCTGTAAGTTTAATATTTGCTCTCATGGTGCAACTCATTCTTGAGTTAGTCTGTGTCCACTCAGACATGTACTTTTTGCTTCTTTGAGTGCCTGCTCAATGGCTTTCTTCTTTTTCTCTACTTAAATAAAACTTGTTTTATCCTCACTCCCATTCTCCTTGAGAGTTTTCCCAGGGGAGTGAAGGACCTGGAGATTGCCTGACATGGGTGGACTAGTAACATACTTCTGTGGCGAGCCAACCATGGCATTTTCACTTTCCTTTCTAGGTTCTTTTCCTGTCACTGTTCTAGGTGTGGAATTGAGTCTGAATGGAGTAAACCCATTGTCAGAGTGTCTAGCCACAACCATTACTGTTGGATACAGTAATTCCGTGTCAAGATAATGATGCTTCAAGGCTTTGGACCCATCCCTGACTTAGAGGACCCAGCCAATAACATCAGCGCTCTGATGAATCGAGGAATGAATCCAAGGACAGAAAGTGCTATAGCAAAGGTGGAGATTTATTGAACAAGTACAGACTCCCACTTGCGGAGAGGAAAGAATCTCAAAGAACTGACTCCATGTAGGGAGGGGAAAAGGTCCCCCTGAGTTCCTTTTCCCTGTGGCTTATGAAGGCTGCAGATGCTGGTGCCTGATATCTCCTCTGATGGGTCACTACTCCCTTAGACTGGTTACTATAGTAACTCCTGGGCTCAAAGGTCAACCTCACCTGGGACTTGTGAGGTTCTCCCCCTCCTTTCTCATTGTTTTCCTACTCCCTTTGGGCTTCCTCCTTTTCCATCTGAATGAAGGGTTTCCTTCCCTTTATTTTGTAATATAGACCTTTCTTGGCTACTTCCAGTTCCCTTGTCTTATGGAAATATACCTGTTGGTACTTCCTTGTCTTATGGAGATGTAATGCATCTCATTTCCTTGTGTTGTGGAATTGTACCTTCTTCCAGTTTGTGGTCATGTTTTTTCCATGGATCCCACTTCTAAAAAATCCCTAAGCCTGCCTATATTTCCCTAAAATTCATGCTTCAGTATTTTTACATAGTGACCTGGCCTCTTTCTTTTTCTCTGTTTAAAATAAAACTTATTTTATTCTCCCTCCAAAATATATATATATTTGCTCCCATGGGTGAAATTTATCTTTTTTATTTCAGGCGTTTATGATTTTTTTTTTGTCTTTAGTTTTCAATTGTTTTATTGTGATGTGTCTGGTTACATATTTTTATTTATATTATCTGCCTAGATTTAGTGGGACATACGCAGGTGATGAGGGGTCAGCAATAATGGCCTATCCCCTGGTACTTCAATGTCTAGACAGTTAAGCTGAACCGAAACACATGAACACACAAGACAGAATTAGTATGGGTTTATTTACCTATTCCTAGGGGGTCCTAGGCTCCAGCAAAGGCCACTGGACAATGTACACCAAAAGATGGACGACTAAGACGGAGACAGACAGGCAGCCGCAGTAGGTTCAGGCTCGCACAGCAGAGCAGTCAGTCAGGAGCTCCTCTCACAGAGCTACTTGGAGACCTCCTCTTGTCAGGCTCCTGAAGGAGGTGCTTAGATAGCTGGTAATAAACAACTTGTGTCTTATCGGTGTGGGCCAGATGGGCTTAGGGCATTTATATCAAGATAGTGGGGCAGTCACCATGTTTATAACATTTTGGAAGTTACAGAGTATTGGGGTCTCCACACAACAAACATTTCAAACAGTAATCATTTCACACATTAGAGGGGTTTCCTTATGACCATAACATAACAAGCATTTAACAAGATTAGCTAGCCTGCGTTTACTGTACTTTTTTACCACTGGAAAATCTGGTTCTTTGATAGTTTTCTACCAAAGCTTACTGTTTTAAAGTCTTATCTCTAAATATAATACGGCTGCTTTATTTTTCATTTAATAATTTTATTTCTGTACCCTTTTCCCCTCCCCCCAACCTTAAATTATGATTTTGCAACTCCAATACTTGGCCCCATGAGTCTGCCTTTTTATTTATTTATTGTCTGTCCTAGTTATTATTTTGTCTCTTGCAGCTGGATTGCATGCACGCGTGCGCATGCACACACATGCAGTAGATTGTTTTTAAAATAACTTAGAATTCCTGGGGTCTAGGATGATATTTTATAGACAGGATTTGTGCTTGCTTCTACCTGGTATCTGACGGAGTGGGCATAGGATCACCTCAGTTCAGTTCCAGGATAAAAGTGGCTGGCTGCAGTTCTTAGCCTGGTTTCTTTCCATTCCTTCAGCTCCTGAGAGCAATTTAGGATTCCAGCTCATGTGACATGGGTCCTCACCTTGTAAAGCTGTCAGCCTTTCAGCTATTTCTTACCACTTGCCAGTTGCTCTCAGGGATAAATGTGGTTCTAAATATGGGGTTTACCTCCCTAGATTGTGCCTTTGTGAGCTCCATTATCTTCAAGTTCTTTGATATTTCAAGCATAGTTGTGATGTATATGTTAGTGTGTGTGTGTTCACATTGTTGCTGTGGAAGTTATCCATCATATGTTAACGTGAAAAACGTTTTTAAAAAAATGTTCTTACTGATTTTAGAGAGAGGGAGGGAGAGAAAACGAATCATTGATGTGAGAGACAAGCATGGATTGGCTGTCTCTTGTACTCTCCCTACTGGGGATTGAGTCCACAAATCCCCAGTATGTGCCTGACCAGAAATGAACCAAGTGACCTTTTGGAGCATGGGACAATGCTCAACCAACTGGCCATGGTGACCAGGACTATACTTTTTAAAGATGTAACAAGTTCATCCTGAACTTTTTAAAGAAGTGGTAACCAATATAAAGTGGTAAGCTTAAATATCCTGGAGAGAAGAGTGAATACTCCAGAACATTAGTAAGCTAAATTCTTCTGGTTACAGAAGCAGTGTAGCTTACTAAGATAGGATACAGTAATATTTGTGTAGATTAAAATATTCCTAAATCTTGAAGTAGCCTTGTAAAAAGGAGTCCTGGGAGGTTTTCAGAGTTGGGGAATACAACGTCATGTAATTATTGTATATCAATGGGAAGTCTATCTAGTGCTAAGAGAGTGGATTCAGAAGACAGTGAAGGGTTAGATAACGCAGTGAAAGGGTTGAATTTAAACAGTTTGTTACTGTAGCAGTAGAGGGTAGCAGCCAGTTGGTGAATTTGGTGGTGGGAAAGTATTTCTTTTGTTTTCTTAGCAAATAACAAGCTTAGCTGTTGAGATTGGGGTAGTATTCTTGAATGCTTGAGACATGAGATTATAAATTTATAGTTTTTCAGCCATGCTGACCAACTTAAGCTGTGGTCATGGTAGGCAAGGAGATGGGTTAGAGTTTTGCCATAAAATTGACAGGAAGAGGAGGGAGAAACTGGAGAAAAGCAGTGAGTCACTATAGTGGTTGACAATCCATGGAATGTAAATTGAAGTAGGACAGTGAAAAAGTGGTCATGATGGAGATAATGCTTACAACAAAGAATTGTTGGGTGAGATTGTTAGTGTTAGGAAGTAGAATGATTATAGGTGGTTTCAAGTGTGACATGCTTGGAACAAAGATTCCAGAGGTATTGCAGTCATTGGCGATAGTGGTTGAGGTTGTGACCTGGAGACAGGTGGCTTAAAAGGAGGGGTCTATAGTTTGAAGTAAGGATGTTAAAGAATTGAGAGGGGAGGTTGTTGAAAGGATCATATGTTGCCAGGAATATATGATGGTAGTGGAAAAGGAGGTACAGCAGGTACCAAAGTCCTTAAAGTGTATTTAGATAAGAGGATTAATAAGAAAAAGGGGTGGCTGCCATTACTGATCCACACCAGTCTAAATCTTTTATGACACTCCAGCACCACCCTTTTCTGATTTCTGGCAGCAAAATGAGTTGAATTACAGTAAGTGAAGTCGGATGCATATAGTGTTCCAGTTGACTTCTGAGAAACTATACTTTGGGGTCTTGGAAATGCCCTAGACTTTCTCTTTGAAGGGACTAGCACTTCCTTTTTTCCCTGGCTGTGAGCTCTCCTGGCACCCAGGTCTAAGGAAATCAAGTTAATTGCTTCTGGGCAGGGTGTGTTTTAGTTAACGTGGTGCTTAAAATGTGATGTCACAGTTATGCTTACTCGGCTTATTTTGCCCTTATGATGCTATAGTAATGAACTGTTATTTCACTGTTTTACAGAGTGCTTATGATTTCACATATTTTTGCTGAATTTGTAAAAGAGGCACGTCGATGATGGATTAACACGAACATTGAAATTCTATGCACAGTTTCGAATTGGAACATATTGAATTTTCACTCTAGTTCAGCAGCTCTGCTGCTCACTTAAATGCAGTTGAATGAAGACCCCATTCGGGAAGACACCTGGCCAGCGGTCCAGAGCTGATGCAGGTAGGCAGTGCAGTTCTCTGCATACCTTAAGTGTGATAAACTGAAAATAGTTATAAAATTGTAGAATACTTTCACTTAATTCCTAGTTGTTTGCTCTTCTTAAAGCTTTGTGATTTGCAGTATTTCATACACATACGTGCGAAAAAACAGGTTTAGTTTTTTGAGGGGCACAATTATATTAATTTTTGTCCTGTTGTAGATGTCCAGTAAATTTAGCAAGTGAATTGTAAATACCCAGTTAATAGGATTACAGTCAATAAAGGAATTGTTTCATTTTGAAGGAGGAAGTGAAAATGAAATGCATAGATGAACATTAGATTTACTAAGATTAAGGATATTTATAACAATTTAAAGGAAAAAAAGATAAACTTGCAGGTTTTGTATATTTACTTGAAAGAACTTTATTGGAATGAAATGTATGAAAATGAATATTTAAAATAAATTATTATTTTTGTAGCAGACAGCTAATACAACTAGAATAGAAGTTTAGACTTTGCATGATTTTTACCCACCCTCAAAACAAAGATAAATCTTAACAGGCTACACTATAAACTAAGTAAGTGATGTTTTCTGTGGGACCTAGGTTCTTCTCCAGTACAGAACACACTTGAAAAAAGTGTGTCAACATTTTGGGGTTCTTCGATAAATTAATCTGAGAATTATGCTAGTGAAATTATTAATCTTGCAGAAATAGTTATGTGATTTAGAACTATTTCTTATGTTTATTAACTATCGTATTTGGAATTCCTTTATAGAAGAGCTACAGGGATTCAGATTTTTAAGTACCCCTCATCTCTTTTTTTAGTTTCTCTTTTATTGTTTTACATTATAATGGTAATATTGATGTAACTATTCAATATGTATGAATAAGATTAACTTTCAGTAGAGATGACAGACTGAAGTGTAAGTCATCTGAGAGTTTGTTATTCTGTTCCCAGCTCTCATCAACCCTGTCCTGCTCTCATTATTCATATGAACATTGGTGCATTTTGTATCTTCTTGAGCCTTGGTTTTTCTCATCTAAACAATGGAACTGTTAGGGTAGGTATTGTTGGGGATATTATGAAGTATAAACGTGCTTATGCATGTTTGGTGCTTAGCTAGGTTCCTGGCACATTATATCTGCTGTACAACAAGCATTATTATTGGTGATCATACTATTTACAATGAAATATTTTCTATTTCAATTTAATAGTTGTAGAAATTGCCGTCAGGTTTTTGTTGATCAGTGAAATCTCCCACATTTCTGTTAATTAGTTTGGTTTTCCCAAGTTCTTTTTATGCATACCATTCCAAATTCAACATTCTTATTTTCTTCATTGAGTTTGAAATCATCTTTGGAGGAGAGTGAGCTGATTAAGGTGATGTGTGTATGGTATAAGTAACTGAAAGAACTAAACCAGAGGGTGTTATTTTTTTTAAGGGAGAGATTGTGAATCCTGGCAAGTATGTTGATCTTCTATTTTCTATTTTTATTTTTGGTGTTTATGGGGTCTCCAGTATAGTAATTTTTTATGATTAATACATAGTAAATGAGATATTAGTTACCACTGTACTTCTAAGAAAATTTCTGCATGGCCTTTGCAGCAATCTGGTGATGTATTTATGTTGTTAACAATTTTGAGTTTGAGCCAAAACCGGTTTGGCTCAGTGGTAGAGCGTCGGTCTGCGGACTGAAGAGTCCCGGGTTCAATTCCGGTCAAGGGCATGTACATTGGTTGCGGGCACATCCCTGGTAGGGAGTGTGCAAGAGGCAGCTGGTCGATGTTTCTCTCTCATCGACGTTTCTAGCTCTCTATCCCTCTCTCCTCCTCTCTGAAAAAGTCAAAATATATTTAAAAAAAAAAAATTTTGAATTTGAGAGAGTTCACAGATAGATTTTTATTGAAAGGGGGAAGGGACTGAGGTTAGTAGCCATTGGTAAAGAATCATTCATTTCTATAAAAATTGGCTTTTTATAATTGAAAACTTAGGATGCCAGAGCTTTTGCTAATTACTTTCAAGTGTTTTCCAGTTTCACATTTTTTACATGTGTTTTGGAGTGGTGTCTTTTACAGGTGCTTTAGCGGCCAATGGAAAATTAAGTAAAGCAACAGTCTCTTTGTCTACAATGTATAAAAAATGGGTTGATGGATTTTTTTCAATAACAAAAACAAGCTCGTTGCTTTTGGCATTGCTAAACACACCTTCAGAATATACAATTTTAAATAAGTTCATGGGAACCAGAAAGGAAGCCACTTTTCTGGAAGGCAAGTTACACACCTGTTTTCCACTAAGTGTTTTTTGAGCTTTGCATTAAATAATGATTTAATAGTAGAACAAACAGTAATGTGATCTTACATTTATGACTCTTCCTTATTTCTTAGAGCACGTAGCATTAAACTAAAGACAAGTAGGTACTCTTGTTGGCCTGTTGTTAGGCCATGAGGTCATACTGTTTTCCTCTTATGTGATAGAACCTGTTTTAGAAAGATTGCTGACTCCTGATCAGTATTGATTATAAAATTGTCTTAATCATTCTTCTTGTTAACAAAGACTAAGATCTGTTGCTATTACATCCCTTTATCAGTAACGAATGTGCCCTTTACAAATAAAATTCATGGAAAGAGAGCTTTGTTTTGTTTTTCTTATATAACAGGAAGCCCAGGTAGGCTTTTCAGAGTTGTATGGTGGTTCAGCTATGCCCTTAGGTGGTGCTGTCTCAAAAGTAAAAGCTGGGAGCTTCAGCAGTCCAGCTCCTAAGGTGTCTTTTTCTAGGTGTATAGCTGGAGGCTCCCAGAGAAAGTGTCCTAAGAGGAACTGGAACAGCTGCATGGTCTCTTCTGTCTCAACCAAGGTACATGCCCTTGACTGGAATCGAACCTGGGACCTTTCAGTCCACAGGCCAATGCTGTATCCACTGAGCCAAACCAGTTTGGGCAACATTATATATATGGTGTGTGTGTGTGTGTGTGTGTGTGTGTGTGTGTGTGTGTGTATTTTTCTTTTAAAATATATTTTATTGATTTTTACAGAGAGGAAGAGAGAGGGATAGAGAGATAGAAACGTCGATGAGAGAGAAACATCGACCAGCTGCCTCTTGCACACCCCCTACTGGGGATGTGCCCACAACCAATGTACATGCCCTTGACCGGAATCGAACCTGGGATCTTTCAGTCCGCAGACCGACTGACGCTCTACCACTGAGCCAAACCGGTTTCGGCACAACATTGTATTTTTTAAAAAGCCTTTCTTGAATTAGCTCTGCCTCATATTTGTGTCTTGTTGCTTTTGGTCTGTGTTTCATCTGGAGTTCTCTCTTAAATGTCTTTCAGTCTAAGTGGATTTTCCAGCAAGGCCCCGAGAAGCTGATTGGACTCTGTGTGTGAGAAAGTAGGCCTTGTTTCCTGGTGGACTTCACATGTCACTATTTGTGGGTGTTTTCTCTATAGTTGAGATCTCACATTTCCTGCTTGTATGAAAATATCACATATCAGATTTCCTGATTTCACCCTAAAAAGTTTTAAAGTTCTACTCCTTTACCACCTGTTAAAGTCGCACCTCCAGTGATGACTGCTGGTCTTTCAAGGCTGGGCTCATTAAATGGCTGTGCAGCAGGGAGAGTGTCACCTTGACAGCTTCCCAGGGAAATTTCACAGGAGGAAAAGGTGCTCACAGGGGAGGAATAGTGAATTGGGAGGGTTTGAGGCAGTGAGTGTGGTGTGGAGATGCATTGTTGAGTACTGCTAATCCATTTGAGTTGTTGGAACATATCAATAGTTGGTATGAATTCAAATGTTCCAAAGATAAAGACCAAAGTTAAGTTAAAAGTTGGTAATTTTGGGACATGTATCTGAATGGGCTTCTGTTAGAAAAGTTTGTGCATAGTTTTGGGGTTTTTTTGTCCATCATGGTTTAGTGCAATTTTTTACTTTTTATTGATTGATTGATTGATTTGTAGAGAGGAAGGGAGAAGGAAAAACATTGATTTGTTGTTCTACTTATTTACAGATTCATTGGTTGACTCTTGTATGTGCTCTGACTGAGGTTTGAACCTGCAAGCTTGGTGTATTGGTACAGTACTCTTTATCAACTGAGATATCTGGCCAGGGCAGTTTAGTGTAGTTTAAATAACTATTTTGTGAGTCCTAGAACACTTAATTTGTAAATATGACTTTCTCACTTCTGTCAACAAGATCCTGGTAAAGGATATTATTCTGTTTTCCACTGAAAAATCAGTGATGCTCATAGAGGTGATACAACCTATTTTCCATTACAAACTGACATCAGTGCACATACCTATCTATCTATTTCTCTGTTTTCCACTACACTGTATGTCCTGGTGACCACTCCTTAGCAATGTACAGGGATCTTCCTCAATTACAGTAGCTCCTCAATGGTCAGAGAGCCAGCCATTCCTGTGGTGCGACAACACGATTTTCGCTGTAAGTAGGAACCCCACCTACATAAGCACCTACATCACTTACATGAAGCACATACACGGAGTAATGAAGTGGAACAGTAAAAAAATAAAATGTAAAAGAAAGATAACAACTCCTGACCTTTACTTGTGGTAAATAATAACAAACATAAAGCACATATGTACATACATCGAAATGATGGAACTAACTTTTAATTTTTTTTTATAAATAAATTCGAGATGGCGATGTAACCACGGAACATGTACATGGAGTCCTACGTCACCTGAGGACTGTCTGTATGTAAAGTTCAATTGTGTGGATGTAGCTTATTAGTTTGTTCAGTAGTCAGTCATTTGGACATTTGGGTTGTTTCTACATTTCAGCTATCTGAAATAATAATTGCAGTGGTCCATTCCATATATGTCTTATCAGTGTGTCACTGGGATAGGTGCCAAACAGTAGGATTGAGTCAAATCTTTAAAAAAATATATTTTACTTTATTAATATCAGTGAGGAAGGGAGAGGGAGAGATAGATACAGATGAGAATCATTGATTGGCTGCCTCCTGCACACCCCCTACTGAGGACCGAACCCACAACC